GGTTACCTGGTGGGGTTGCGGGGGACTAGGGGAGGAAGAGGGAGCTGAGATTGACATGTGAAGCAAGCTTTCTAATTTAAATAAATAAAAAAAGAGTGTGTTTTAGTGAGTGTGTTCAGAGTGAGTGGAGGAACAAATATGTTCCTTGTGGCCAGTGAAGTAATGGGCTGAAGAGCAATTTGCATTGCCACCTCCGGCCCTACCACGCTGAGGAAAGCATCCAATAATGCTGCAAAGGAGAAAGGAGAAAACAGAAACTAAAAGTAACAAACTGGAGACTTAGGCATTCTGGATACAGCTCAGTCCCTCAGAGAGAATGGGGCTCCACTTGCCCATCGTTATTCTCTGGGGAAAAGGGAGGCTGACACTCTTTGTGACACCTCTGTCATTAGTGCTGCTTCCATATGGTCACAGACTATTGGAGTCATTGGAGTACTGGGGAGGAACCAGTCTCCTTGGCTGTTCAGTTTTCTCACCCTCTAGTTCTTTATTATAGAGTCTACCACATTTAGTGTCTTTTGATGCCCATATTTTCCTTTTAGTTGTAGAGGCGGAGGAGGGCAGCTTGCCAAAATGTGTAAAAAAATGAAATGGTTAGAGATTCTAGGATAGCCATTCAATTCATGGATTTTTATATTGGAAGTTAAATCCATTTATCCCACGCTTCATCCATATGGTTCAGCCCTGCGACAAACTCTCAGAGGTAGGAAACTCAAGACTGTAGGAGGGAAACAGAGTTGCCTCAAGTTTCTAGACTGAATTGCAAGACTGCTAGTTCTTTGGCTGGATAGTGGGCAGAAGGGGGTCCCAAGAATCTGCATTTAATGTCTAAATTTCTTTAGGACTTCTAGGACCCTTGGGTCCCATGAGCCACATAGCATTTGCAAGGGAAAATATCTTTTTCTATGGACAGGGCATGGAATCAACCCAGGTCACATGACCTCCTTCAACCTGCTGTAAAGTGGAAGTGGCCCCCTGTGTTCCAGAACTTAGTGATAGAGTGTGCTAGCCCTTGAGAAGTTCCTGGTGGCTGGGATAGCTCCTGCCGTACAAGACAGAGCCTCGGAAGTCTCTACCGCCAGCAGGGAGGCATTGTGCGTCCATGCTAGCTTTTCTTCAAGTCTCAAATCTTTCTGCAGGCATTGCTACACAAAGAAGCAAGGTTCTGTTGGGACTCCTGGGAAATCCAGGTGAAGGGGGCTGCAATCTGAGATTTTTGGACAAATAAACCAAGAGTGCAAACAACATAAGAGATTCAAAATTCTGTAGAAGCAGATCATTAGAAAGAGAAGTGATGAGGAGACTCGGGAGTCTTGGTAATGCAGGAGGTAGTGCCATTTCATGGAACACGGGAGAGCAAGTTGGCCAGAGTTTCAGCCAAGCAGGAAAATGAAGGTGTGTTTTGGGTTCTATTTCATGTTCATGGTGGGCTCCCTGTAGAAGGCAAGCTGCCTCCGTCTGCTAAAGGAGAGACTAAAACCCAGCCAGAAGAGTATGGGAAAGGTTTGCCTCCCAGCACTTCTGCCTATCCATGAATCCAACTGAACTGTCAGAATGACCTACACGTCTCAAGCACAGTGGATTGGGTGCGGCTTAGCAGTGGCTGGGGCCTATTCTGGCCAGGAATGGCAAGTTTGTATTAGGACTCTTTACCAACACGGGTGTGGTTTTCTGTGGTTTCCTTGTAGCTAAGGATATCCTGTGCTGGGCTACTTCGGCATGTGTGCAGAGCCTGCATCCCAGGCTCTGGTCACTACTGGTTTCCTGGAGGTGGCAGATTTCCACCAACTGTAACGGCTGCAGGCTCCCCATCCTTATGGCTTCTATCTTTGTGACAAACCTGATGCCACCCCTAGTATTTTCTCCCAGGAATCCCTGGAAAGTAGGTCTGCCCTGCCTGGCATGTCTGTAACAGTTTCCTCTTTTTTCCCCACCTCCTTTTGAAGAAGACAATTTGCTTCTTGCTTAGACTTAAGATCAGCTTGTTGGTGAAAAAGGTTGTAGCTTCAGATTTTCTTCAGACAAGTATCAGGCTGTTTCTAGTCTTGGGAAGGGTAGAATAACTCTGATATATATATATATATATATATATATATATACATATATATATGTATATATATGTATGTATGTATATATAACTGGCATATGGCATATATTCATGTGTATCTGTGTTTAGAGGCCAGAGATCAACACTGGGAGTTTTCCTCAATTGCTGACTATGTTGTTTTTCAAGACAAAGCCTATCACTGAACCTGGAACTTTTCAGTTTGGCTAGACTGGCTGGCCAGTGAATCCCGGAGATCTTCGTATCTCTACCTTCTCAATGCTAGATTACAGATATACAAAGCTGCTCCTGGATTTTTCTGTCGGTGATGTAGGCTTCCACACTGTGTAATTGGCATTTTACCTACTTACAAGTCTGTGCATTGAACACTCTTCCTAGCCCCAATTTCAAATCCATTTAGAATATTTAGCAGTGATGTTTGGAGAGGAGAAAAGACTTTCCTAAAGAGACCTAGACAGCTGGTATGAGAACCCAGGTTTTGCCCTCATATGTCATTCTTTTTCCTTCACCCTGCTACAATGTCCAGAGTTTGTGGAGCTAAGGCAAGCTTAGCTATGCATTGAAGTGGGAGCAGGCAGTACACAGCGGGATGCTATCTTCTCAGAGCTGAAGCACACTGTGTAGGGCTAGCAGAGGGAGCCTTGATATCACACATTTCCACACTGAAGCCTCCCACATAACCCCTGGCTAGTCACTCTGACTGCTTGGATCTCAGCACCTTATCAACAAATAGGCATGTTACTGGTAATGTGCCCCACCCTTCCATGCCTGTATGGCTAGCTCTTGGGGCTGGTACCCAGACCAACCCAGGGGAGCTGGGAAAAGGGAAGGGTATTAGCGGCACCGATACACAGAATCTGCTTGTAGAAACACTAAACAGAAGCTATCATTTTGTTGTCAGTTTTTGTTCTGATGTTCTGAGTCACGAGCCAAGTATGAAGCAGACTCAGAAATTGTGAAATCCACAGTTCCCCAAATTTGAGATTTCATGAGCCAAAGAAAATTTTCCCCCAAATGAAAATCTGGGGAGCAACACAGAGAAGAGAAATTATATTTTGCTTCTTATGATCATTAAATCAAATTAAGTGGCAGAGTAAACAATCTAGCATCTATCTATATTAATTTCTTACTGTGAAGGGAGGGTCATTTTCACCAAAAGACAGGAAGGTGTGCATGCCAAAAAAGAGTGTTTTCACCTTCAGTGTAACTGACCAGCTGGCGAGAGGACAACATCCTTCTCTCTTTCCTATTCCATGTGGTCTGGTGCAAACCGTAATCCACTAGTCAGAGTGCATTTTTGTACTTGGCAACTTGTGATTGGAGTGTCCACAAACAGAAAAGAGCAGCTCATGAGCTGGGGTCCTTATGTCTAATCAAGGCTATCGGTCACGGACACTATGTCCGTGGGAGGTGGCTACTGCCGTTCTTCAAATGATATTTACAGAGAAATATCTAAGTGGAGGTGGAGAAATATCTTAAGTGGTGGTAGGACAACAGGGGCGGTAGGACAATGGGAGCATAGACCAGGAGGATCATGTTTAATCAATGCTGATTGCTCCTTGCAAAGCTGCATGGGAACATATGCAACAAGTTAGCAGGGTGTCTAACTATATTGCTGGTGCCACAAGAGTCTTCTAGTCTAGTCTATGGGCCAAATCCAACCACTGCTCATTCTGTAAATAAATACTTGTGGGATGCAATCACATATGTACATTATTGTGTTGTTTGGCTGTCTTAACCATGGCAAACTGCAGGACTGATTTCAGTCAAGATGAGAAGGCATGCAAAGCCTGGAAAATTTACAATCTAGATCTTTGTAGACAGAGTCTGCGGCCTCTATATTTTACCTTGTTCCTTGATTACATAACTGGTTATCGACAGAAGCATGGGAAATGAGACCACATACTAGGGGCTAAGCGACTGGGCCAATATTGAGATATTGTTCATCAAGCTAAAATTATTTATCTTTCTATAAAGGTCCAGAAGGCCGGTCCATCCAGGGCCTCTTACCTATACTTTCTACGTCTCCAGTAGGATGTCCTGACGGAAATATACTACTAGTGCAATGCTCTTGGTATAAGGAGCTGTATCACATCGTCTGGTCCCAAGAATGCCCAGCATCTCTATTCTGGTGTCCGTGAAGGTCTATCTAGGCTCTGGAAATTATGGGTGGGACTTAGGAGGGAACTGATGTTTAAAATGTAAAGACACTGAATCAGAGCCAAGGACCTTTTTATTTAGGCCATATGATATTGAGAAAGACACTTTCTAAGTCTAATTTTTCATTCTTTGAGACATGACAACGTTAGATGACCTTGAGTTTAATCTTCACTCTAAGTGAACTCTGTGTATGTCCCCTTAGGGACTAGTAGTGGCAACATGTTAATCAGTAGCTTCTGTGTCTGGTAATGTGAAGGCAATGACTCTGTTTACACGAGTCTTCAACTTCATTAGGAATTTTGGCTATTGCCAGTTATTTGATGGTTACTGTATGCTGGCAGCTATGCCAAGCAATTATGAACTTGCCCTGATTGGCTCCTCTAGAACCAGAGTGAGGTGAACACTGTAGTTCCTGTTTAAGGGACGTGTAACTGAGAGTTTCAGGTGGGAGGTGGAGTCATTTTAAGGTTTGTTCAATTTAGGATTTCCAGCTCTAAATTCAAGGTTGCCCTGGGTCCCTGCCAGGGTCTACAGGATGGCTGCACTGATGGTGAGTGTTGCTAGTGAGAGTGTTACAGGCAGGTGGGTAAGCACAGTGATAAGGGGCTACCCAGATGAGTCAGAAGCATCAGTTTGCTCCTATCAGTCCCCACCTCCATTCGCCCCACTCATAGGGAGGACAGTCACAGCATTTCTGGTTGATAGATAGGCAATGCACCGTGTGGTGTCATCTGCATGATTCACTGTAAGTTCATTCCTGAATCTGAGATCTTACCTCCTTTAAGGGGAACCTTGTCGGTTGTTCTGGGAGTGGAGTCCTGGAAGGAAAGAGAAGAGCAGGGTCACCATCACATTTCACAGACAAGAAACAGGACTAAATGCCTTGTCCATGGAGACATGACAAGTTCATGGAACTCAGGACCACAGGTGTAATTTCCACCTCTAGCTCAAGAGCTTTCTTTCCCTGCTACTGTTTTTTCCCTCTTAAGTCAGTGTAAGATCAAATGAAGTGAATAAATGATTTCACTTTTTTCTTTCCACATTTGGTTCATCTGTAAGTGTTGTAAACATACATGAAGATGACTTTCTACCTCTACTGTTGTTGGACATTGTGAATCAATTAGTGTTTATATTCCAAAGATTGTGATGATGTTGCAAATAAACTGGTTCTCTGACCGCATGGATTTATTCCAAGTTATGCCCAGATATAATTATCAACTGTTTATAAATATGTAGCACAAACAGAAGTGTATTTGTTTATGCATTCACATATTACATATGATGCTTTCTATGATAATCACAAATGTCTACATAGACTTGTATATAAGTGCATAAGAAGGAAACATCGTCTTCTGGAGACGTAACTATGCTGAGGGTCAAAGGGGATTAAAGAGTAAGGTAGCTGCATTGTACTGAGAAGGTGGCCCACAGATATGGAGGAGCACTGGTTTCCAACAGAGTCTTCAGAGCCTGGCTTTCCAGTGTTCCTCACATCTTCTCCTGTTATCCTATAAAGGCATGCAAGAAGCTTTCCACAATGAGATGGAATGTCACATTTGCCTTTTGACTAATAGGTCACAGTCACCTCTAGTGCTCTTAACTGAGATAATAATAATAATAATAAAGACTAGAAAGGTGTGAGTGTTTGCATGGAAAAGGCAGGTTTCCCAACGTCTACCAAATCTGGAAGCCGACAGCTGACTCCATCTGGCTTTCTTACGCAAGTGTTGATGACCGTCTGGAGGTGCCATTTTAATTTATATCCTCAAGAGCCCTGTCACTCTCCATCTGTGGACACATTGTTATCTGAGAAGTAGGTTTCTTTCTAGTTCAAGAGGTGGAGCCCTGACTGAGAGGCCTTGGGAATACAAACCTTGGTGTCACACTAATCTAGAGAAAGTCTGTAAGCCTGGGCCTCAGTTTTTCCGGGGAAGGCATGTGAAATTGTTTTGGAAGATCCTTTCACCCCTGCTTGTTTTGTGGTTGTGCTTTTTTCCCTGAGAGTTCTTAACGTGGGTAATAATGCTTTACATTGTGATTGCATGATTACCCACATGCTTCGTAGGAAAACCTGACATCACAAAATTCCCCTCTATGTTGCCTCTGCGAGACAACAGCCAGCACTTCACAATTTATTAAGCAGCCGACTTAATGCCAAACGTGACTTTCGATTAGCATTAAGTGCAGACACACGAAGAAAGGTATTTCCATTTAGATGAAACCTGACGTGACTGAATACACCAAATGCCCTGTATCCACCTAGATACCTAGAGTGAACAGTAGAAGAGAAAACACCATCAGAGCCATCCCATTGGCAGAAATGCTACATAATCATTCATTCAGCTTTGGGTGATTGTGGTGTGCACTGCGACGTAGTTAATCAAAATGGCCGTTTAAAAACTATGGAATCATAATGGTGAGTTGTGGTACAAGCTATGAAAAAATCAAAGTGCTTAAAGACAGAATTTCTGAAACCTTAAAGTTGAGGATGTTGAGCTGTAAATTCCTGTTCCACAGGTTTGGGGAGAGCTTGGCTTGCCGTTATTTCTCGGGAGCTCCCAAGTGATGCTGATACTCCTGGCCTCCAGAACATCATTGAGCATCAAAGGTATAAGCAGTGTATCTAGGAGGAGGATCACTTGTTTGGGATAGGGGTTTGGTCATGGAAAGGAAGGCCTTCCTTTTGCCTGTTAATTGAGAGTTCTTTCTTTTTAGGCAGGGAGATACCAAAACAACTGGATGGGGGTCTGTAGATTCATGTTTTACCCAAGGTCCAGGGAATTTAGGACAGAAGTGAGACTGTTCCTGTGTGGAAGAACACAAGGTCTCTACAGCTTCCTCTAGCTGCCTATAGTAGATGTGATGCCAGAGTCAAAGTGAGACACAGGCCCAGACATCTTTCACACCTTCAAGTTTATTTTTAAGGAAGGATGCCAAGATGCTCTCGTCAAGGGCCAGATATGGGCTAAAATTCCCCAGTGAACTTTCCACCAGCCAAGGACAGAGAAGTTCTTTAGTCTCTCCTTATTCTGCAAGCAGCCCTTGTATTTAAAGATGTAGAAGCAAAGCCTAAGGACACGCTGACTGCTTCCATTTATCAGACATAATGGTGACTGTTGAAATTTGTCAGAGATTGTTTAGAACCCATGCACTTTGCTGAGTGCTGTCTGTAAACTGTTTTAATAAACCTTGCCCAATAATTTGAGACCTTGGCTGGGGGAAATGAAAACTATCCTGCTTAGTTACTTGGCTTTGAGTAAGGTAGGACACAGATTTGACCTAGATGCAAACAAATGGGTACCCCCGGGCTGTCATCTCAGCTCCATAGAGTTGCTCAGGAAAAAAAAATCACCATGGTTACCAATCCCTGACACATTTCCTTAAACATACTTCCTTTTTTCTTTTAGCCTTTATGGACAACGATGGACATTCCAACAGTACTAGAGTTCTTTCTGTGTGATGGAAAGAATGATCTAAGTCTGTCCCAGGTGAAATAATGCCTATTTCAATAATTAGCATAGAAATGTTTCCTTCTCTCCTTTAATTACTGTTATTAGAGGGCCAATGATTCTACTCTGGACTGTTGAAGTTCTACCAAGATGTAAATTATTAGCAATTGTTTGAAAACAGTAGCTATTTGAGAGGGACTTCTTTGAGCCTTATAATGTGTTTAATTTGTCATAATTGCATGAAAGGTCTACTTATTTTCAGGGCAGTGTTGTGGAGGGCATGGAATAAATGTTTGTAAAAGCCCTTGGCTCCCAAATTTGCTTTTCAAACAAAATCCTTAGTTACTGAAAACGATCAAAGGCAATTAATATATGGAATATTCTAGAAAGAATTCTGTAGCCTCTTCCTTTCTGAATCTCACTGTCTTCTAAGGTGGTCTCCGACTCACAGAACATAGAGATCTCTATTATCCTTAAGGTAAGATTATTAAACAGTTAATGTAGGTTACTATGGGAGTCAAATCCTTTCTGAGCCTTATGGTATTGGTCTTTATCTGGACTCCAAGAATTAGGAACTGTCAAAGACACAGAGAAGTGACTTAAGGTTTAAAAATGATCCCACAGATGAGAAACGTGGTCATTTTGGCTGAGAAGGTCAATGCTCTTCAGTATTGTCTCTCTAGATTACAGTAAACAACACAGCAGCATATTCTCTGAAACCTAAGGGGTGACTGAATGCCAGTCATCAAAGACCCACAGGGAAAGTATTTTTGTTGGGAACTCATGGTTTGGTAAGTCTGAGATTTGGACCACAGTGGCTTAAATAGCATTTCTCTCACTTGCAAAGACTTGCCATGAAAATGGGGATTCTGATTCAGTGGATCTGAGATAGGCTCTGAGTTCTAGTCAGTCTCCTGACTATGTCAGCATGTGTGGGACTCAGGCTAATCTTTGAGCATCACTGGCTTCAAGACATGACACAAAAGGCAAGTATGATGGAGTCAGATGTGAGATTAGAAAATCTTCCTGCTCCGAAGATGGAGTTGGCACTTTGCCCTCTTGGCTTCATCTATCAATGTGTTTTGCCATCTGGTCCCACTTCCTGCTTTGTCTTTGTCTGTGCTGGAGGATGGCCATTGTTCTTATCACAGTAACTCTCACCATTCAGTTTATCTTCTTCTGAGCCATGCATCAACATTGTCTGGCTTGCTGGGTCCCACCTCCACCTGCGTCCACCCTGCTAATGGAGAGCTCATCTTTATAGAACATAGTGAGTGAGTGGAAAGAATGACTGCATCTAACAATCTTCCATCAGCAATCCTCAGGATGGTAAAAGATTCAGGTAAGGATCATCAAGAAATGCCAAACTGCTGAGTAGAAGACATTCACATCTTCAGAATGTTACCCTGAAACACTATTTCACAAACAGACTGTTGCTAGCTGTCCCTTAGTGAAGTCACTAGACAGATAACCATATATAACCAGAAATATGTTCCTAACTACGCTATAACACCAAGAATAAGTAAACCTTAGGCAGACCCAGAATATAAATTGTTCTACTGCAGAATTGTCCTGCCTCTTGCAGGCTACTCATTGCCATGAAGTCAGCACTTAAAGGTGGGTATAGTGGTTATCTCAGGGCTTCTCAAATTTTACTGTTTTTACAGATGTTCTGGGAAGACTATTAAAATGCAGTTTTGATTCAGTAGCTCTGAGATGGGTCTAGGAAGTCTTAACTTCTCTCCTCTCTCTCTCTCTCTCTCTCTCTCTCTCTCTCTCTCTCTGTGTGTGTGTGTGTGTGTGTGTGTGTGTATTATGTGTATGGGTATGTGTGCCTGTGCATGTTCATGGTTCTGAGAATATATATATATATGTATATATATATATGTATATGCAGTGATGCACTTGTAGGGGTCAAAGGACAGCCACAGACATCAATTCTTAGCTTTCGCCATATTTGTCTCTTTGTTGGTCACTACTGTATTTACTAGGAACTAACTAACTGAGAAGCTAGTGATTCTTCTGTGTCTATCTTCTATCTTGTTCTAGGAGCAATGGGTTTATGGTTGTGAACCCGGACATTGATCCTCATGTTTGGTAGCAAGGGATTTAACCACTGGTGCATCTCTCAAGCCAAGAGTGTATTTCTAACTATCTCTCAACTCCATTTATTTATTGGTTTGTTTGTTTTTCCTGTGGTGCTGGAGGTTGAACCCAGGCCTTGCCTTTACTACGCAATCACCTTAGCACTGAAGTGCATTCCTAAGCCTTTAAACATTTAAATATTTTTATTTTGAGACATAGCCTCATTAAGTTTCCCAGGAAGGTTTGGAATATGTGATCTTCTTGCCTTAGCTCTGAGAATAGCTAGGGTCACAGGCATGTGATGTATAACTAGGTAGGGATACCCATTAAAACACAATGTTTAGATTAAATCATAAAGTAGTTAATATAAGGCAGTGTGTGAGCTTAGGTTGGATTACCCCCCTAAATAACAACAAATAAAACAGTCACAGAAGACATGGGGGACTGTATTTGAGTGTATGCTATTAAACAACATTGCTGAGTTAGCGTGAACTTGCTTGGCTATGGTGATAGTGTTGTAGTGGATAAAGATGTATAACAGAACATGGGCGAGTAAAGCCACACTGCCTACCACTTGCTTTCGTAGATATACATCGGCAGCAGGAGTCTGATGGGTACGTGATCGATTTTGGTGGGAGCGTATGTGGGTTTCATCATTTCATTTTCAAACATTTTCCAAAGGCAATTTCTAAATCTTCTCAGGTTCAGGTTCTACTGTAGTCACTCCCCAAACCCTCCCTATCCTATCAGAGGCCACCCACTGTTTGGTCCAGAGTATTCTGCCTGAAGCCCAAGTACATAGGCTTCATTTTCTCAAGTAAGGAGAGTTCCAGAGTCCACAGGACTCTTCCTCCAAAGCCCTGCTTAAGGCTTTATCCTTAGAAAATTCTCAGTTCAAGTAAGGAGAGTTCCAAAGTCCACAGAACTCTTCCCCCAAAGCTCTGTTTAGGGTTTTATCCTTAGAAAACTCTCAGCTATCAGGAAAAACTTAATTAATTAATTATACAAATTCTTAAATAGAATAAAATCCAGATTCAGGGAGTCCCTTAAGAAGACAGAAGTGTCCTAAGACATTTCAATTCACTTCTATCTGAGTTTGTAAAAAAGCTGCCTCCCAAACAGCCCCAATCCTATGCTACCTTTACCAGCAATCACCTTATTAAATTTCATGCTCTGCTTCACTCTTGACCCAAGAGAAAGGTAGACTTAGCTGCTTTCCCTTTCCAGAAATGGTGTACAATATGTGAAAAATCAAACAACCTGAGGCCTTGCACTCTGGACTGTGTGTGTTCTTGCCTTGGCTTGGGTAAGCCCAACCTCCTGGTTTAGGAAGCAAAGACATGACTAAAGTTGAAAAGCACACATCTATCTGTAAAGTGACTGGGAAGCCAGTGCCCTCATGGATTCCTCTTCTCCAAGGGGAGATAAATGAGACTCTGTCGTATTTTTACCCTTTGCTTTGCTCTGTGTGTTCACAGTTCATCCTGACTGTGGTGTATGGGAAAAGTGTCCACACACTGAATTACTCTCCTTCCTCCCTCCCTCCCTCCCTCCCTCCCTCCCTCCTTCCCTCCCTTCCTTCCTTCCTTCCTTCCTTTCCTTCTTTCTTTCCATAGTGATATAAAGAGACATGCCTTTTATGGTAGACTTTCCTTCTCTGTGCAGGCTGATATACATTTATTCAAGTAAAAAATACATATTCTATTCCAATTTCTACAGCTGCATTCACACATATTGGTTTGTAGAAATGCACAAAGGGTAACATGTCCTATAGGGAAATATAGCAGCCTCCTATAAGTCACAGATAAATTCTGAAGCATCTGTGCAATAGAATAAGATATTGCTCTACAGTGGCACAGAGTAGACTTCTACATACGGACATGGAATGATCTCTAAGATACACCACCAAGTGAATAGAGTGGAGTTGACAACGACGTGTGTGCTATGTATTTTAGATATACAGACTTATGTAAGAGCATACAGGAATTTGCTCACAGTAGCCAGCCCAGCAAAGGTTGCTGCTAGGAGGACATGGGGTGAGAAATGTTTAGTTTCTTTCTCCTTATTTCTTGGTTAGTTTTCCCAAGCAATGTAAAATGTATTCTGTAATAAATACTTTTTTTCAAGACAGGGTTTCTCTGTATTGCTTTGGAGGTTGTCCTGGAACTTGCTCTACAGACCAGACTGGCCTCCAACTCACAGAAATCCACCTGCCTCTGCCTCCCAAGTGCTGGGATTAAAGGTATGTGCCACCCCCGCCCAGCAATAAGTGTTTTTTGCCAAATGTAAATATGCATACAGACATTTCAGAAGGCTTCAAAGACATTATGAGAATGCTGTATAAACAGTACAAGGGCAGGGATTTGCTAAAGGTTGTAGTTGTATAAAACTATATACCCAGTGTCTATAGCAGTGTCCTGTACAAAGAAGATACTCCATTTCTCCTTTGTCTTTCCTATGGAGTTTTCACTTGGAGTTATTTGGTCCTCTAGCCAGGTCTCAAAGATGACATCATTAGCTGCTATATCTCCATCTCTTCTCTCAGAGTCTGCCATTTTCCAGATGGAGCTCTCTCCTCTCACCTCCTTCATTTCTTGAAAATTATTCCTGTTTCTTGCTCTGATCAGACACTCTAGTTTTCAGTGATGTTTTTCTTCAGTTTGTGGGGGAAACGCTCCTTCACTGGTGGTCTCAGGGTGACTCGATTCTCACAGTTCTCCACCTGGTCCCAGTGGTACACAGAGAATGCTATCTGGCCATCTCCCATCCCATGTTGAATACTAGGATATGAGTCTGAGCTCCTTGGACTCTCTCTTTGGTTTCTTTGACAGACTTCCCCCTGAGCCTCTTCAATTGCCAAGTCAACCTGTTTCCAACAGTCCCCATCCTTTTTCCTACTGGATATATCCCTGAAAACTATGGCCCAGGGGTCTCAAATTTCCCTAGTTCTCACCAGAGTTAATGCCTGAGAATTACTAGAAATTATATGTGCAAAGCATTAGATTCTCTATACCATGGCTATTAAGATGGAAAGCCCTAGCCTGTGAGCAAGTACCTGACATTCATGGAATTGCAGTACACCAAATCATAGACTCAGACTGTGAAGTGCATCTCTCCGTACCCAGGCATGGAGGAAAGTCAAATAGATACGGCAGAGGATCAGTCTCTAAGAGAAGAGTGGGAACCAAGGCTCTCCACTCTTCTGCCAGTATCAGGGAGAGCAAAGGGAGCATCATTCTCACAGAGCAATCAAATGCAACCAAGCAGTCGCCGCTGTACTTGCTCAGGGCGGTTGACTTCAGGCCCTGTCCCCTGGCTGAGCTTCTTTTTCTGCACGTGCAGGAACAGGGCAGAAAAAGACTTGTCTATCTTTCACAGGAGGGATCATTTCAAAAACAGGTTGGCATCGCATGATGACTCTTGTAGAGTTCTCTCTGGCTCTGCCCAGCACCATCACCACCCCTCCCTCTCCATCTCATTTTCTCCTCCACACCCAGAAGTTCTACCTGTATCCTTCAACTGAAGAACTGTCCAGTCTATTTTATCTGGCCATTGCTATAAAACAACACATTTCTGGCATATTGCAGATCACGGAGACAGAAAGTGGAGAATATGTACAGAAGAAGAGGAGCCCGAAGTTTTGTCTAAGAGAGTCATTCTCAGGAGATACAAATGAGCCCATTAAGTGATGAGTCCCACCAGCTCTGACAGCCAAATAAGTGTGAAAAGTCTCCCCTTACACTCTCAGGGGAGAAGGAGCTTCAAAGCTTCCTTTAAATGTCAACACTTGATGACACTTGTAAGGCCCTAACCCTCTCTCAGCAACTAGTAAATTACAGAGCCTGTGGTCCAAGACAAAGAAGGAAAGCCAGAAAAAATAACTGGGAGATCTAACGTGACGAGTGGGGATTATGAAATAATAACAGTTGAATTCACATTTGGCCAGGGTGCTGCATATGTGGGTGCAATTCATACAGTACCCAAATCATGATGACTGGATCTTACCTCAAGCCTGTGAGTCATGTGTGCTGATGGTACAGTATTTTCTAGATGGTGTGTAACATTTGGTACTCTCTCAACGTAATTTTCTATATTTTGGTTTTCTCCTTCAACTCGACTGTCTTACCCCCACCCCATTTCAAACAAGTAAACCTCCCAAGACAGTGTGGCCCTGAATGCATCTTAGAGGGTACAGGTGAAGAAAAAACATTGCTATGTTCTGTTTCTTGGAGCTATTTCTTTCAACACCCTGGGATCTTCAAAGCTAGTGGCTTGTGAGGAAGCTTTCGATTTCTTTTGTGGGTTTTAACACTGAAATACCCAGAGCTCTGGGTAGAGAACCTTGGCGTCTCTTGCTTTGTTTTGTTCTGTGCCACAGCCTCTGAAATTTATCGCCCTGCTGAAAACAAGCAACAAACAAAACCAAGAGCAACAACACCCTCTGGGCAACAGAGAGGTCTTGGAATTTTGGGGAGCATGGACTGGGGACATAACCATAGATCTAGGTTGAGAGCCTTACAGGGATGATTTCTGTCTCCATGCTGTGGGGATCTGCCTCAGCTGGGCTTAAATCATCATTTCTCAAGACCAGTAGTTGCGCTCTGCTTTTTTGGCTCAAGAAGATCTGGAAATTTTTGAGCTCATGTCCAGTTACATTCCTCTACAACAACTACAAGTTAGTGCAGGGAGTTCATCTCTCTGTCTCTCTTCTAGTTCTCTGTTCTGACGTCGGTATATATGCATAGTTTTATTTGTTTGCAGTTTTTACTTTTTTGCTCCCAGTTTATCTATTCATTAGCTCTCAGAGCTGTTCCTCTAGGGGAGACAGATTATAAATAAGAAAAGATAAGCGAAGACGTTTACTCACCTTCTTCTGCACTACCAGGACCAGGATGATCGCCATCGCCACAACGAGGCACACCAGGGCGGTGGTGCTGAGGTAGAAGTAGCTGTGGCTTGAGCTTCTCCAAGGCCTCGTACTTCTCCAGGGGCTGGCCACCGAGTCGGGTGGTATCTGCATGGCTGGGTCCGGGGAAGGGGCCCCGCAGCTGCTTGCTTGCTGCAGCCCTGGCTCCATGCTTTATATAGTCTGCCCCTCATCACACCTTATCTCCCCTCATCTGACTCGATTCTGCCCTCAGCTCTGTTCCAAGAAGGATTTTCCCCCTGCATCCTGGATCACGTGACTTGGAAAAAAGCCCTCACCAGTTGCCGGATGGAGAAACTCTTCTCTGGGGGCGTGAAGTGAGGGGTGGCTGCAAGGGTGGGGGAGAGGTTCATTTTTCACCGCCCGGGATTAATTTGAGTGCAGAGAACTTGTAGCGAGAGATGATGGCTGATGTCAGAGGGCGGTAGGAAGGAGATAGTTCCGCATGTGTGTGCACCAACCACTTCTGTTTCCTTTAGGCTCAGTCACAGAACGCCTTCCCGCGGGGACCCTGCACACTCAATTCTCCAGGCTGGTGGTACAGAAAAGCTTCCAGATTAGTCTCTTTGCTAGGTCCCTGGGAGACTACAATCCTTTCTCAGCAGTACAATGACTCCTGGGGTTGTCTGATAGTCAAGGCATGCTGTAAACTGGAAAAACACCCTTTTTTTGGGAAAGAAGAGCCCACAGTGTGGACATTCACTTACCTGGTGACAAGCCATGACTGTAGGAAATTTGAGGATGGTTTCAAAGATATGGTGAGAGAATAGGAATCTGGAAACAATTTGCTTTTGAATGAAAGCTCTGAAAACCCTTGCTGTACAATTTTGGGATCTGTTATATTTGCTGACAAAGCTGGCTTGCTATAACGTCCGTGTAAGAGGAAGAAATTGGTGAGGGGTCAGGATGGAGAGGCTGAAGGCATGGAACATGTGCGTATGTGTATGAAGTGCCTATGGGGTGTGTCAGTGTGCAAATAGTGCTCCATGTATTTGTGGTGAGTTCCTGCATAAATGTTACTAGAATTCAACAGTTTTAGGAAGCTGGTGGGGTGGCTGACTTCACACTCACCACCACAAGCAGGTAACATTTCTTCTTTGTAGAATGGAAAACAGAGGACCAACAAGCATGAAAACTTTCTTCTTTAAACCTAGCCGTGCTGACCTAATGGAAGAACTTGGTGCATGCAAACCAGCATGGCCTCAAAACTGTGCAGGAATCTTCCCTTACAGACTGAAAACTGCATGTCCCATGTTAGCCTTGAATAGCTCACCAGAGTCCTTGCCTTAACCCCCTCTGCCTTACAGTCATTGAGAAGATCAAACAAAATGATGTAACAGTGCTTCCTGGATGGGAATTAGCTTGGCAGCTACTGTTGAACAATTCCTGTTAAGCAGCCCAAGCTGCCCTCTGGGCCATGTCTGGAATTTGATATAATAAATAGAGTCCCTGGGATCTGGATCACATCTGTGAGTATGAACAATCTTCACTTCAGAATACCTCTAAAAGCACTTATCACCGTTTCATAGTCGCCTCCAGATACGGCCTTCAGAAACCTCATTTTCTGTTTCCCTGGATATTGATAGCATCTTCCCCTTTGGTTGTAGTCTACCTCTGTGAGCCATGGGAGATACAAGAAACTTCAAAGAAATGCCATGCCCAAAGCCAACCTCAGGTTATTCTCCTTTCTGGCTCTATGTGCATCTCTCTTTTGAGACAGCTTAGACTTAGAAGACGGCCTACAGACCCTTTCTGGTGATTTCATAAAATCAAAAATCCATGTAGGTGGGAGAGGCAGCTAGGGTGAGCTTGTGAATAGTTTTCTTGGCAGGCAGTATCTCCATTTGACTGCCAATGAAGATGAACCTCCTCGGTCTCAAGCTAAGCTTGGGTTTGGAAGACATGTGTCTATACTCATTTGCCTGCAGATTTATATAGAGTGAGGTAAGCTAGTAGTTTTGTGGGTGCACTTGGTTGACTGAAGGAGAAGGCCTTGTCCTTTGCCGGGTGCGGACAAGGAGTGGGTGGCAATGTGCCCAGAGCTGCTGAGAACTGGCTGCTCACTTGGCCCTCTCTGCTTAGTCCCTTTGATCAAAATGGAAAACTTCTGATTGCTGAATGGAAGCTGTGGGTGTTGAAAAATAAAAAAGGCTTTGCTTAAAGTTCAGGTCTTCCTGAAGGCCCGTGGGGTTGAGGAGGCAGTGGAAAAAAATGTTTGTCTTATACTTACAGTTTTGCATACTGTACAATGTCCTGGGAGGGAAGGCTGACAAGGGGGAAAATCACCCTTTGTTCTTAGAACCTTCTGAACAGTTGAAAATTTCAGATCAGTCACTAACAGTTTGTGGGCCAAATTTGCTGTTGCTTTCCTCTGCTCACAAATTTCAGTGGCTCCCTTTTCCCTACTCCCATTGTTCTCAACTACTCCATTCTTCCCACTTGTAGAATTTGGTCCAGCCACCTAGTAGTCAATCCCCTGTGTCAACAGGCTCCTTTCTATTTCTAATTAAGCTACATGATATGCAAATTGAAGGATCCTACGGAGTCCATGTTGAGTGATTTTCAAATCCTTCTTGGAATTAAAACTGCAGGGGAAATGGAAAATGAAAAAAAAGGCAGAACTTGCTGGCCAGAGCAGAGGAGAGCCAGAGGAGATGCTTTTTTAGACCCAGAGTCATTACAAGATAAACAAAGTATAGAGCACTACTGTGATTGTTCAGCTCAAATTACTCATTTTGCAAAGAAGGAAAAGGACACACTGAAATGAAGTGACTTCAAGTGTTGGGAGTTTGCTTAGTGATCAAGTGTGAGGACCCAAGCTTGCTCTCAAAAACCTATGTATAGAAGCTGGGCACGGTGGCATTTGTTTATAATCCCAGTGTTGGTGAGACAAAGACAGGTAGATTGGGATTTGCTGACCAGTCAACCCAGTCAGCCTAATCAGTGACTTTCAGGCTACTGAGAGACCCCCATCGCAAAAACCAAGGCCAGTGGTTCTTGAGGAATGATCCTGGATGTTGATCTGTAGCCTCTATGTGTACTTACACAGACACACAGACAGTCACACACACACATACACACACACACACACACACACACACACAACTGCAATGCACTTGTACCCCTTACATGAACAGGCATGCCACACACATCTGTTTCTTGAAATGGAGTGAGTTGGTTCACACAGGGAGGCATAGAAGCAGGCTTCTTTTCCCCTCTACTTGTTCTCCAGTTGTCTCTGCTGATGCTATGCTGGGGCCCATTCAGGCTTTCTGAATGTTTTTCTCACCTCTGTCCCTGCCTTTCTAGTTTGTCTAAACTCTGGCTTCATCTTCTCAGCCAAAACCTGCCTCCATCTCAGTAACCCACCAACATTCTCTCTATATACCCAAGTCCAGGCCGTGTAACCTAATTATTTAATTACCTGCCTAGCTCCACTTACTTACAAGTTGTGAGCATGTATAACATTGGCCTAACTTGTGAGATGATAGGGTCTCAAAGCCACGATATCCATTCTCCTTCTTTATCTGCATGATTTGGGGGATGGGCCTGTGAATGGTCAACCCTCAATCAGTGATTGTCTTGACTTGGTGTTTATAGTACAAGGAAGTTTCAGAGGGTTGGGTATACAAAAGAATTGTGTGATGGCATTTCTGCCTTTCTTGTGTTCCAACTGTCTTCTCTGTCCCCATCTTCCTTACTTACCTGTTCAGCAGCACTTCCATTCTAGTGTGCCCTGGGGAGACTGTCCATGGGAGAAGGGTGACGTGATTGAAGCAGATGCTCAGGCTGGCATCTGGGAAGCCATACTTGGGAAAGCACCTTAGAGTATCCTGAGAGCACTTGACTGACAGTGGCATAATGAATAAGAAGGAACCTCTAAAGTAAGTTTTGGGCAGGTATACTAATACTCTACTGTGAAAAGTGAAGAGGAAAAAAGTTAGTTTACAGAGTTGTGTAGTTGGGAAGTGCTGTTTTGAGGACTGCTTTTTTGGTGTCTTTGTGTTCCATTTATCTAATATCAGTTACAATTGTGGGATCTAAAGCTACTATTGGTCATGGAGATGGAGGTGCATCCAGAGCAAAATGGAGATGGTTTTTGCATATATAATTCTCTTGAATTATCACTATGTAAAAAATACTTTTTAAAAAAGTATGAAGTCTATGTGAGAGGCAATGAACTTACCTAAGGTATGTTTTAAACAACAAAGCACAGAACTAAACTACCTTTTGAGAAGGAGGTGTCTGTCACCTCAATTTGAGAGCCTTCAATCTTTCTGGGGCTAACTTGAGAAACTTGGACATTAGACTTGTGTCACAATGACGCTTTACTAAGAGTCATTGTGAGTGAGATGGTGAAAGGTTAGGAGCATGTGGTGATGACATGTAGCCCGTGGTTAAATCTGGTAGCTGCCTATTTTAGTCAATAAGGTTTCATTGAAATAGCCATGGACATTTGCTTATGCACTTTCTGTAACTGCGTTTTCTGTAATGGTAGAGGTGAGTAGCCGCAATAAGGGCATCATAGTTCATACGATTTAAATCTTTACTATTTAGCTCTTTATACAGTTTGCTGATCCCTGATTTAGAATACTAAAATGAACTCAAAGCAAAACAATAAAGAAGGCTAGGGGGAATAACAAGCAGGTTTAAGTTTCCTTCATAAATCCTTGTGTATGTTTATCTTGTTATCCAATACTTTCATATAATAAGATTCTCTTGAGGATTCTGCCACAGTGGAGAAGCTATGTGTACTGGTTGGTGTATTGCAAAAGCTGACTGTTGGGAATAATGTAGCATCTGAAAAAGAGGTGGGGTGGAGAACATCTGGGAGATACACCCAAAGATACTCTCAGCATTCCATGCATTTGCTTATAAATTACATGTGGAAGTTTTAAGTCAATTTAAAAAGTAAATTTACAGGTCATAATGGGGATGGCCATAAAGCCAGAGATCTGAAGGGAGGGAACAAGGTTAATGTATTGAGGAATACATTTGAGTAGGACAGATATATCTATAGGCTTTTTGGTCATAAGGCAAAGAAGGAAGCACACTGGATTATGTCACTCTCATTGCTCATGAAAAGCAGAGGTGTTCAAAAATAGAAATGCACAATCAGGTGGTTATAAAAACACTTCAAATATATAGAAATTAGAAATGACCTAGGGTTGTTTTAAAACATGTCATTCTGGAGAATTAGGATAACAGCCATACTTAACAAGTAGAAATATTAGAATATGTTCTAAAAACAAATGTTGTTTTAGCCAGATATGGCAGGGCATGCCTATAATCCTAGCACCTGGAAGACAAGGACAGGAGGATACTGAGTTTGGGACTAGTCTAGAGTACCTAGTGAGACCTTGCCAATAAAGAAATTCAGTTTCTTAATTTTCAGTGAAACAGAACTAATGATAA